GAAACACTAACTGTACACCATACTCCCTGCCTTTTTTAAATATTCATTAATAAAATAAATATTCATTATCCATTATTCATAACCATCCATGGAGCCTCATAAAGTATTAACTATTTAAGTAGGGAAGATCTCTGTGTAACTGCATAGCACAAATCCTACATGATTTAAATCCCACAGAATCCTATTAAAATCCAAAGAGTTTCAAGTTGTTTATGTTAGTTCAGTATCTAATATTAACACCTGGTTTTGAAAATTTACATAAGCAATACTGCTCCACTAGACAAGTAGGACAGGACAAAGTAAGTTCAACCTTTTTGGCTGATTTGGGTATATAAATAACTTATGTCTACATCTTGAACTTCAGCACTGTATGGTTTACTTGGTTCACTGCTTTTCAAAAACTTCCATTTTATGTATTATATATCATGTCAGAAAGTACAATTGTGCTACATCTCTTGAATTGTCTTTCCTGAACTTGAAGATAGCCTGCATTTCCCTGAATAGTGTCTGCTGAATAGACCATGTATGGAAGTGTCAGACTAATGGACTCATTTATTTTGTGAAACGTATAGTCCAATGCCATATTTAATTGGAGTGTTTTTTTTTTTTGTTTGTTTGTTTGTTTGTTTTGTGTTTTTTGTTTTTTTTTTTTCTTTTTCATTTTTCAGCTATTCAACTTACTTAACTGACTCAAGTGTAAGCAATTTGTCAGGACAATGAAATCATGGTGTGGAGCATTCATACCAAAGATGTATTACTGCAGCACATCACAATTGCAGCTGAAGCTTATAAAAAGTAGATGAAAATGGATAAAGCTGTGAAAGAATATTTGGCCTTCACAGATGTCCACTGCTGTCTACAAGTAAGTAACTTCTACATGACAGAATGCTTCCAATAGCAAGGATCATGGCTTGATAACCTTTCTGGGGTGCATGAAAGAACTGGACAGATATTTTACATATTTTAAATGAAACACTAATAATTTGAAGTCCAGTACTGACCAATCCTTCTGCTGCTAGTGTAAGCATCACAGATGCTCAGGTCCCCTTAAAATTTAAAAATGGGAAGGGCATTTTCTAAGATGTAGTCCATTGTCTATGAATACCCCCAGCCATTATTCACAATACAGCAAAAGTGCCTTGACTCACACCTAGAGAGAAATTAGCAGACGGTCTCTTTCCTCTTCTTTGAGAAATGCCAGCTAAATATAAAAAGGATAAAGCTAACAGAGTTGTGTGCCAACTATGCCAAAACATATAAAAATATTGCCAGGTGTATGAATCTTTTCTTTTGACTCATATGTCCCTATATTTTAGTTTTCTTTATTAAACTCCAAGGTACGTGTGCATGTAAGAGACATTAGAAATATCTGATCACTGCCACTAGATTTCTGCCTCTATTGCTAACTTAGAGATTGTACCAGCGTGCAGTGTGTCTTTAATTGCTACCAACAAGAATAAATCTTTCCTTAGGATCCATTAGCTAATGACTTCCTCCCCTGCTAAGTTGTAATTCTACAAAATTGTTTGTCAAACTGGCCATTTGCCTTCTTGGAAGCCAGATGTGAAGGATCCAAACAGGTAGGAGATGTGACTACAAACACATGCATGTAATCGTATTAGCAATTATATGCATTTATATGGTAACCTCATAAAGTTATGTTCTTAATATATTTTAAGTATCCACTCAAGTCTTACTTAGGTCTGAAGCAAATATTTTCCAGAGCCAATAAATTAATAAGTTAATTACTAGTTTTGCAGCATTCGTAACCATTCAAACTCTAGGGTTTTTAGATCAGCAGCAATATATATAGTTCTATAGGATGGCCCAGATACAGTGAGTTTACTAGCCTTTGGAGATCTGTTTGAAGTTATATTAATAAGACAGTACACTGGAGGTGTTACGTGTAACGTAGCTGAGGACACACAATCCCAAAGACACGTTCACAGAATACAACAATACATCTACTACACCACAAGGCAAACATATACTTCTAACATGTAAATAGGGCTCAGGCAATGTGGTGTACTGAAAGTGCATTTGAATTTCCTCATTCTGAGCAGCTGCACTGAAATTCAGCTGTGAAGATGCTCATGACAAGGAGGACATGCACTGATCTTTCAGCTTTCATCATCTGAGTGTGCTCACCTGTAAATATACTCCTAATCCATAAGAAAAAGCAGTGGGAAGTTTCAGTGTTTATTAAAAGTGAGCTGCTTTCCTGTGACAGATCTGCGTGACTAATCTTTGAGAGTCATTCCTCACAGTTTCAGCTACTTGTAACAACCTAAAGTTCTGCCTCTCAAACTCATGCTAGTCAGGAATTGCAATATCTCCACTGTATCATCTTTTGAGTACAGTCTGAAGTATGCTAGATAAAACCCTTTTATTGGACTTTGGTACTGTAACTGACTATCTGATACCATGATCTACTTAAAAAAGACTGGAAGCAAGCTTTCCACATTAACTCAACATTAGTTTTTCAAAATTGTCTTTCTGCTGAAATGTTTTCAAATGCATTTTGAAGGTTGGTATTATCCGTGTTGTTTCTGTTTCTATATTTGGATTCATAATAGTGTTTTGCCACAGAAACAAGTCATTGTGGGGTAATTAGATACTGCACAAACTGTTCTGCAGTAACTGCAGAAGACAAGAACTTGTTAACCTGTGCAACAGAGAAATCTCAAGAAAGCTTAGGCCTCTGTGAATGACAGGATAGTTCCCTCAGCAGGAGACACCACGGGATAAAAACTTGTGCACGGGCTGTTGGCACACACTGATTTATGCTTTTGTCAGAGTCTTTAGCTTCTGAAGTATATCAATTTCCTTTGTAAAAAAAAAAATAATAAAAAAAATAATGTTTTTGTGAAATCATTGAGAATTTTTCCATCCTCCAGTTTACTAGGACCAAAAAAAAAGAAAGCAATTCTCCTAATGATCTGAGGGCTCCCTTGACTCCATTTATCAAAATAATACAACACATTTTCTTATTTGTAGTTCTAAAATGTGAATACACAGTTTATATGTTTACTTAAAATACCCGTGTGCAAGTAATGGTATCAACTACACAGCCACAGATTTTGCCTATTGCAGTATATCACTTGAAATGCTCACAAGACTGGGGAAACTGATGAGAATGTTTGATTATAAACTATTTAGTAGTCTATTTGCTCTCTTGCCAGATGTGCCTAGCTCCTTTTGTTATCCTTAAGAGCGCATTCACATGCAGCAAGAAGGATCCCTACATGTAGCACTTCTCCTTCTGTAGATTTAGGATTCCTGCCTGTTCTTTCATTTTGGGCACAGTGCTCTGTCACCCAGTGGAAAAGTCCCTTGTGTGAGCAGCATCTCGAGCTCCATATCCACTTGCTTGGCACTGAGTGAAGACGGTAGCTGGGAGCAGAAGGAGCACAGAGCCTTCCTGGCCCTGGGCACAGCCCTGCACATGCAGTGCAGTGAAGGCTCCTGTTATTTCTGGGACCTCCCTGGGGGGCTGAGCTTCCCACCAGACAAATAACAACTCAGCAGTTCTAGGGAAGTGCTCTCTGCAAAGGATTTAGGTACCCATCAAATGATCCTTTTACAGCCTGGGATTGAAACAATAATCCATTTACTTTTCATTTCCCACTAACCAGGGAGACTGCAGCAGCGTATATGTAAATATGTGTATGTAAATACCAGTAGTGCTGAGTGTGTATGGTGAACAGGGTGAATAGGTAATGCTATTGTTGCTGGGAGAGCTCTTTTCTTTTACAGAGGCTGTTTTGTATAGGGAATACCTTACATATCCTCCTTGGAGTATAGCATTTAAAAAAAATCCCAAAGCCCACGTCAGAATTCTTCACACAGAGACTCTTGCAACTCGTGCTCCAGAAACCTAGTTGTAACTGTGGAATAACCTTCCACAGCCTTCCTATATTAGAAGGCTGTGGATGTAGGAGCAGCCTTCCTACATTAGACCCAGGCAGCCAGTACCTTCAAACACGGGCCAACACAAACCTTCCCTGTCAGGCTGTTTTGCTCATACGGTGCTTCCTAAGGCTCTAATCAGCTGTAAGCTCCTAGTGACAAGGACCTCCCTATTCTTACATGTTTACCCAGCACACAGCATCACTGTGGAAGCCTACAGGAAGGTCTAGCAGGTGCTATCATGGTATTAATCATAAGTAGGTAGCAGAGAATAAGTAAAAGTCCATTATCCAGAAAAGCCACAAAGAACATTCATTATCTAAGATTCATACTTTTCTCCATTTACCCCTCTATCTTCCAAGTCACATACTGGCAGACAGAAAAACTTTTCATGTGCAAGTCAATTAAAAATTGAGGTCATGCCATCTGAGCTGGATGTTGGTTTTCAGTAAGGTAAATTGAACCACATTTAGTGATCAATACATAAAAGGCTGGGGGAAAAAATCATTTTCCAGGTAGTGTACATAATGACTCTTGTGTCAAAACTGCCTCTTATATCCCATTTCAACTGCTGGCTTGTTAAACAGTGAAAGTTCACTGATGGGTCTGCCAGAATAGATGAGGCAGGTGAAACATCCCAAGCCCCCAACAAAATTCTCCTCTCCACACCTGTGAGAAAATCAATCTTTCCAACTATGAACAAAACCCTTTAAGCGATCTGATGCTCAGTGTGAAAATAACTAAAATCATCTGTTGGCATCGATCCCTACCCTGACTCCCATCACTCCCCCCAGGTCATTTGAGTAATAAGGAGGTGAAAAATACAAACCAAATTCTGCAGACACAAACATCTCAAAAGGCAAATGTTTTTCCAGTTCAGAACCCTGAGCCTCCCAGGTGACAGGGAGAATTCAGAAGTCAGAAGTACGAGTGTCAGAGCAGGCACCGCAATCAGAGGTGGCTCACAGCACTCTACTGCTGATCCTGGCAAAGAGCTGCAAATAAAAATCAAAGCAACACATCTCTTTTCAAAACAAGGGAAGAGTTAAAAAAAATAGAAAGGAAAAGAAAACATCTAATTCTTCAAGTACCTTTGATTCCTGGCTGGTGGTTGATGCTGGAGAGGGGGGCTGCTCTGTGCTCTCCACTTCCTTCTCTTTGTCCATGCTATCCACGCTGACTTCAGTCATGCTGCTCGGAGGAATCATTTTACCTCTAAAACACTGCGACTATCAGGAAAAAGGGCTACAGACGTTTCTTGCTTTTTTTTTCATTTAATGTCCTCTTTCTTCTCTGCTCTTCTTGAGCAAATGAACTCCAACCACTCAGTTTCACTACATTTGCAAGAGCAGAATTCTCTGGATTTTCTTTTTTCCCTTATCCTCCTCCTCCTTCCCCTCCCTCCCCTCCTCTATGCAATTCTGCTGCGAGGGGAGCAAGTTATTGATGGCTCCATAGGGCAGTAGTGTGCCTGCTTCTCTCCTTTCCCCGATCCTCCTCTCCTCTGTGTGAAGCCTGGAGGTGTAGAGCAGAGTCGTGACTGTCAGCCCTGCGATCAGATGGGAGTGAGGCGAAGCAGAAAGCCCCAGCCATGCACATACACGGGGCACCGGAGGGAGGAGTTATATTTCTAATGCTTTGAATAGCTTTGGGGAGCATGTGCTGCCATAGTAGTGAAAGAAAGTACTGTGTGCATGCGCATACACACACACACAATACACACACACACACGCAGGCAGGGTACATGAGGTTTGGCAGCGTTTTACCTTTTAATTACACTGAAGAAGGCAGAGTTTTAAGGGCAGCTTTATATTCTCATAAATCTGTTGATTTCCCCAAGAAGGGCTCTGGAAACTGAGAAGAAAAATTACTCTTTCTTTACTTTGTCCCAGAGAAGATTATTAAGAACCCTAACTACTGATGTCTCTAAAACACCCACCCTGCCTTACACACCGAGCAAGTGACAGGACAGGGGCAGGGGAGAGGCACCTGTGTGTGGCTCCATGTGCTTTTTCTCCCCTCTAGGGCAGAGGAGCCCTGCTCTGAGCCATGCACACGCAACCATGGTCAGCCCGAGCTCCTGCCACTGTGTGAATCCTGTACCTGTAGGTTGTCATAGTGATAACACTCGATCAGGCTGCAACAGAGCAGAGGCAGCTGTCGGGAAGGGCCTGCCAGCATTCCCCAGTGCCATCTTTCCCAAGGATGCGGTGCCCAAAGTTGTGCTTGGGGGACTGCAATAATGCTGGCAGAAGGTCAGCACGACTTTGCTGGCTGGCTCAGCTCTTGTCTTGGATTTGAGTCAGCTGCAAAGGTGCCTGTCAGCTCTCTTCCCCGCTGACTTAAGGTCTGCATGGTGAACGGTTAAATAGATTTGCTCCCCACCAGATGCATGTTCTGCAGAGCAGGAGCCACTCTGTATGGCTGCTGGAGATGCCTCTTTACGTTTCCTTTGAAGAAAAAAGAAAAAAGCAACCCAAATGTGTTTCTAATAAGCAGTGCTTATATCCCTTAAAGTGAGAAGGAAAAAAAAATAATCTTGCTTAGTAGATTTTTCTTGGAGATACAGGTAAAGGTGTTTGGAGATGATTTGCTGACATCTGGGCCAGATAGGCATTTCAGGACCTTGTCAGCTCTGGGAGAAGGTACCAGATTCCCTTCTAGTCCCATCCCTTAGAAACACAATCGCTACCTGGGGCTGCCTTGCAAGTCTCCTCTGCCCCCAAATGATCCATGGGTGAAAGTGAAGCAGTTTATCAAGACAGGGATTGTACAGATGAAAGCCTGAGCAGAAAGTGCCCTGCAGCCTCTGTATTCTTTGTAACTATGCAGAAACCAGGAAAAAAAAAAAAAAAGACTTTCTTTGAATCTCTGGTGAATTTTTAGGACTGGCAGTTAGATGGGGAAAAAAGCCTTTTTCTTTGAAATAGAACATATAAGATACTGAAATCTTTAACAGACAATAAACATGAAATACCGCAATCCTATTTGTACCACCACTTCAGAGCAAAAGCTCATCTTACGAGTCTGCCAGCAAAACCCATTATTTGGCCTGTAGTCGCTAACACCATTACAGGGATCAAAATGAGAACACAGGTTGCTGTTGAGGCAGCTTCAGTGGCAACTGAGATTGAAGCAAGGAAACACAGAGTTTGGAGGGGCAGATTTGGCAGGTGAAAGAATTGATTTCCAAGGGTTTGAATTTCTAAAATACAGCAATGTCTTAGACTGTTCTCTTTAGAGCCAGAGGAATTCTCTAGGCACAAGTCTCACATCTTCTACCCACTAAGTGAGATTTAGGTGCTGCTGTACAATCAGCCTCCTAGCAATGAGGCAGAGTCACCATTTGGGAGAATTAGGGTAGCTGCAGGCAACAGAGATCTTGGCAGGGTGACAGCAAATGAACACTCCAGCTCTGGCAGTGGTGTCCTTCCCTGATGTTCCAGCCCAGACAGGGCAAGGGCATGGGGTCTGCCTGCTGCAAGGTTTGCTCGGTGTGTCCAGCAGTGGAACAGGTGAGAATCACAAAACTATGTTTCATTCATGTCCCCAGCAGTGCCAAGAAACAGTTTTTTCTGCCAAGAGGCTCAAAAGCACCTTCTTATGGTGAACTTATAGGCCACATCTGAAATAGGCCTGGAGAGGCTGGTTAATAGTTAATGCTCTAAGTGTTGTAAAATCCTGTACACATTTTGTATGAAAAGCTTGTAACGTCATGACTATGTAAGTGACTGTCATACCACTCTCTACTCCCCCCCCCTTTTTTTTTTTGTTTTACCAAATTAGTACTGACACCTGCTGCACTCCCTCTCTTCTCCCAATTACTCACTTGTCAACCATGACTGATCTGTCAGTTTCTTGACAATTAGCCTCGGAAAGATGAGTCAAACCTAAAATCTTACCAAAAAAGCAAAAAGGGAAAGAAGCTGGATTTCTTACATTTTTATTTCCTTCCACAAAAGCTGACTATTGAAAATAAAATATTCAGTATAACAAAACAGACTGATCAAATTAGATGAGCCTACATCTCCTGCTCTCTCCCACGCTTCACTCTTGAGAAGTTGGACTTGTGATTAGTGCCGATCAGTCTCTAAGTGAAGGTACTCAGCGGAAATATGAGCACTGCAGCACAGTGCTAAACAAGAGGAAATTGAACAGATTCTCTAGTGAAGAGATGAGTGTAGATTTCTGGAGTAGGGAAGGGAAATTTGGATGAATAAAATATGAGAATGGATTCTCAGCCCCCAGCTGAAGTTGTTGCACTGTGTAAAGGCACTTGAATGCTGCCTGGAGTCACCATCAAGCACTCTCTTGTTGGGTGGTGCAAAACTGAGTGCATAGATGCTATGTTTCATCCTCCCTCCTGTCTCTGGGCCACACACATGAAGGTGACAGGGTATGATGCAGAGCTCTCCTCTGTGCTGGGACTCCAGCTGTTCTTCTTGAGCACTGTCTGTAGTCCGCGCAATCAGAGCATCCAAAAGACTCCTGGCACCAGGAATACATACTCTGATTATTAATACACACTGCTGTACTGCCAAGTCCTACCTGCTGTAGAGCTCCACAGTGGCAAGATTAAATTGATGTAGGTGTTTTGGCCCATGCCATATTCTTTCACCTTCTTCTGGTGCAGATGTTCCTCTGATATATTTAAGCATCTTTCTGCAAAAGAGTTACATGAGCACAGCTGGATTTCTCTAAGAGGAAAGTTATGAAGTCAGCACTTATCAAAAGATGTTATAACTGATTAGACACCCCAGGCATTTACTAGAGAAAAATACTAAGGATAAAGGAGAGAGGAAACTACAGGTATAACTATTTACTGCCTGGTGCATAAACCAGCTCACAGTCCCGAGCAAAATGGGTATAAGGTTGCTTATAGAGACGATACTGATAAACGACACTTTTAAACCACTACGTTCTGCTCTCTAGGAATAGACAAAGCAGGGAGGAATCACGATGTCTGCCACCAAAGCACAGCCCTAAAAGGGAAGAGGATTGCAGTCTACTGAGAGTCCAAGTGGTTGCAGACTGAGTGCCATAGAAAACCATTAGACATGGGAAAAGGATATCATTCTGGTACTTGCAGTACAACTTTATCATCCTCTCTCTAAGTCACTCAGTTCAGTTTGTGAATGTTCCAGGTGAGAACTTGTAGCTTTATTTCTTATTCCACCCAATTTTGTCTTTGTGGAAACTGGCAACAGGATACCCATCCAGTACCATTTGCGATGGGAATTTTACTTTTGGCGTAGTGCATTTGGCCAGACATATCAGCAGACATGTTCACTAGGTTGTACTCTCAAACATTCACTATTGCCCACAGCTGGCTACTAGACTGCAAAGACCAGACCATTGCTTTAGCAGAGAATTTGCCTGTGTTTCCAAGTAACAGGCTTGTGGGAACTTATCCACCAGAAAACATTGTACCCAAAGAGATAACAGTATTAAAATAGCATCAGGTGGCTGTCCCCCCCCCCCCCCCCACACACACTTATTTTGTTTTGGTTGTAGCCACATACCCCTTGTTTGCTATGGGTAGAATCTTGGCAGCTCATCAAGCAGCTAACATAGCAACAACCCTTCCCACACCCCAGGATTTCATTTATCAAAATGCCATCCAAGGGAAGGGCTACAATCACTAGCTCATCAACCTGGAAGCAGAAGCCAGTCAATGCTCTGAAAGCATTTACGGTACTAATGGGATAATGTAGACTTGTATTTTGACTAAAACGATCTCAAAGTACTTTTTGGAGTTAAAGCAGTAAGCCTCCCACTGTTCCCAGGAGTGCTTATACTGTAACAACGGAGTAACAATAGAGGAAGCCAAACCAACAGATTTGTGCTTGTGCTTAAGTCTGAGATAAACAGAACCTCTGCCTGAGCATTAATTTCAAAACCCATCTTTCTCTCCATCCATGGCAATGCTACAGGGAGTGTTGCAGAGACCACAATGCAGCTTGGGCACCTTGAATCTATCTTTCAGAGAGATTACGATGAAGATGAAATACTGCTACCCTGCCATCTAGTTCAAGAAAATGAAGAATGCAGCATCCTCTTGTGACAGCAAGAAACGTTTGAGAAGGGAAGAAGAGGATGTAGTTATAAAAGATGGAATTTAGCCAAGATACAGCATGTAATATGTTCAGTCTTACAAAAAGCATTGAGGTACCTTTAAATAACTAGCAACAGTCCCAACCTTATTTTACATCTTTGCTAGCAGTGTGATTCCTTCTCTCTTTTTATAGGAATGTGATATAAAAAGAGGCCCATGGAATCAGTAGCACCACTTCCTGCATCTCACAGATACTTGTAGAAATTCCTGGCATTTAATAGCCATCTACTGACTCAGTCTAATATGACTGTAGCGGGAATGCCCTCACCCAGTTCAAAGGGTTGCTGTGGTGGTGATTCAGCTATGCAAGCACAGTGTAGTAAATCCTTTCAGGGTATCTGTGCTCCAAATATTTAAAGAAGTAACAAAGTTATGATAATTAATATCTCCTCCCTTTTTTCTGGACTCTGCTTTAACCTCACCCCTGTTCTCCAGGATGAAAGGCCTCATAGAATGTAAGACTCTTCCTGATTACCGTCAGTACAACTCAGAAGACTCTCATATAAACCCAGCCAGCTCTACCTACTTCTTCTTCTCAGCTGGTTCCAGGGTGGGGTGGGAGGAAATCCCAACAGGGTCACCATCCTGGATCTTGGGCCTTTTTTTTTTTTTTTTTTTTCCTGAGTAGCTTTCAGTAGGAAGGAGCTTTCTGTCATCTTTCTTTCCTAGATGTCCTCCAACCTGAATTCTCCCTGAAATTTCCTTGTCCAATTGTCATCCTTTTCAGGTATGAGCTGAGTATTACAGCTCACAGGGCTTCACTGTATTTGTCTCAGGTACCTGCTTGTTCCATCACTCTGGTATAGAAGAGTGTATTATAAAGAGCTAGTTCTTAACTGATGCCAGTGAAAATGAGCTTAGAGCAAAATTTTGCTTGGAATGTAAACAGAATCCAAAACAAGATCTGCCCCAAACATCCCCAGCATAGCTAGTGGTGAACACATGGATATGTTTTTTTTTTTTTTTTTTTTTTTTGTTTCTACAGATATCTTATGGCTACACACCACCAATTTTTAAAAGGCTGTGCATGCACAGAATTTTCTGTCTTAGGTAGTTATAGCATGTCTGTCACTGTAATATTTAGGCACAAACATGTATGCTGAATACAAGATAAACCTCCCTGTCTACTGCAAATCTGAAACAGTTATGCTATCATATTTTGCGTTGAAAGAAAATAGGATTTCTTAACGTGCCAATGACCTCTGTCAGAAAAGCAGGACTTTTCTACAGAGTGTCAGAACTCAGTTACACGCAGCAAATCTTTAAGTGCCTTTGGACCTGGTAGGATGAAAGGCTTCACAGAAATATCAGAAATTATCATTGTCAAGATTAACGTTCCACTCTATCTAATTAGTGCATGTGTCAAATGGAATAGGAGTGTGTTTGATGAGTGTTGCCCACTGTTATGTAAGTTATTGTAATGATCTATTACAGTTCTTAAACAAGAATAAAGGAAATGTTCAGCCTATTATAAACTGAATTGAAAAGCAAATATATTACAATCCAAATATATTGTTTTTGTTTCTTGAATCTTGATAAGATGCAAAACTTGAAAGATATTGATGGAAGATGGGCTATATTTTCTCTACATAGCTACCAAAATTAAAATGTTGAAAATTAAAATGTGAAGTAAAATGTAATAATTAAGTTTCCAAAAAAAAGGTAAATCTTAAAAACACTGCAAGAGGTTATCTGCAATATTTTGTATTATTTTAAAGCAACGAAAACGCTTATAATTCAGTGCAAAATGATAGTAGGAGGGCAGATATGATCAGTACTCTGATTCTATCAAATATAATCAGTACCTTTTTAGAAGGGCTGTGAAAGGTCAATTTACAAAGGAAAAAAACAATCAGGTCTCACTATTATGCCTAGGAACAGTTAAAAAAAAACAATAAGCATTTTAGCTGAGAACCTTTCCAACCAGATCTCTTGATAGATATACCATAATTTTTTTGAAGCACTCCAGTTCATACGATAGTTGTATTTTGTTGCTTGAAGCAATAGGAAAGACAATGATCACTTGCTGCCATTTGAAATCTCAACACAGAGCTTTTTGGAGTCACTGCTCCTTTTATAAGTAAATTTCATTGCCTCATTATCCAAAGGGGTCAAGCCCAGCTGCAACAGCAAAGAATTTCATGAGGAAAACCAGTCAAGATTTTTAAAAGTACAAACATCAGAAAAGAAGAGAAATAAAAGAAAAAAAAAAAGTGGAACATTTTTCAAAGTATGAACGACTTTACTTTCCAAATTCCTAATTATTTCTATTCTTTCTTGGATAAAAGAAAGGCAAAAGCAAACAACAACAACAACAAACCAAACAAATACAAAAAACGATTAAGGTTTTATTTTGTTAGTCATATCGCCTGCAGTAACACCATGCCATACATGTAATTCTGATGTCCCAGAGTGGCTGTTCAGGCAGAAAAGGATTGCACATTAGACCCGGTGAAGAGCTTTCCACAGAATGCGTTACCTCAATTTCAAATGAACAATAACTGAACTCTGTGGTTTTAGACTGAGTAAGCAGGATCACAGAACGATTTTGGTTGGAAGGGACCTTAAAGATCACCCAGTTCCAACACCCTGCCATGGGCAGGGACACCTCCCACCAGACCAGGTTGCCCAAAGCCCCATCCAGCCTGGCCTTGAGCACCTCTGGGGCTGGGGCATCCACAGCTTCTCTGGGCAACCTGTACCAGTGCCTCATTGCCCTCTCAGTAAATAATTTATTCCTTATATCTAAACTCAGCCTCCTCTCTTTTAGTTTAAAGCCATTACCCCTTGTCCTATCGCTACATTCCCTGACAAAGAGTCCCTCCCCAGCTTTCCTGCAGGCCCCCTTTAGGTACTGGAATGCCACTATAAGGTCTTCTTGAAGCCTTCTTTTCTCCAGGCTGAACAAACCCAACTCCCTCAGCCTGTCTTTATAGAACAGGTGCTTCAGCCCCTTGATCATCTCTGTTGCCCTCCTTTGGACTCATTCTAATAATTCCACATCCTTCTTGTCCTGGAGTCCCCAGAGCTGAACGCAGGATACTGAATTATGTTGTAGATTTATTCATATGATTGGTCAAATTGATTTTATCAAGATTATTCAGCCAATTAAATTACAGAAGTGATGATTTAGGTCAAATATTTATGTATCGTTTTAAAGTTCTGTTTCCTTTTTTTAGTCCATATACATTTTTTTTTTTTTTTTTTTTTTTACTGGAACATGAGGAAAGAAAAGACTAATGAGCAAAGAGCATGAGGATAGCTGAAACCTAGAGGAAAAGCAAGTTATTCCACTTTCCTAGGAAAGACTAATATTTAGGATGCTTTAATTTAGCCAAAAGCAGAACTAACAGCAAGGCACAAGTGGTTTAACTTTTAGGGGACTAACAATTAAAGGAATAAGGTATTTATAGTACAAGAAGTAGCCATCATCACATAATGCAAGGGATTGTTTCAAACTGTGGCATTCTTCTGAGATCTCAGAGAGAAGGAAATCCAGTGGATGTGGTAATCCAAATGATCAGAACATTCAAGAGGCACAAACACT